GGGCCGGGGTAGGACGGCTTTCACTGTCCGGTTTACTCTCCTACTGCTCCAGTGTCAGGTCTGAGTTCTTTCCTAAAGAGCATTTTTCCCTGAATAAAAATATTCTGTTGGTTTTCAGTGTGAAAACTGCCTCCTAGCCTTGGCGGCTTATTCAGTGGAGTAAGATCACCTACCCAACCTTACCACACACAAACAGAAATGGCAAATGCAAGATGAGGAAAAGAAACAAGAGAAACGCTAGAAGAGATTAAAACCCTGAGGTGCGTGGGTAAAGAGTACTGATGTGGGGGCTGGGTGATGATGCTGATCTAACAACCATCCTCGATCACCCCCAATCCTCGTGTGTGTGTGTGTGTGTGTGTATGTGTGTGTGTGTGTACTGGAGCAACCTCCCCAGCCATTTTTTATTTTGAAACTTGCGGAGTCACTGAGATACCCAGGCTGGGCTCACATTTGCAATCCTCCTGCCTCAGCCTCCCTGAGTTCAATTTCCAATCTCACACACACACACACACACACACACACACACACACACACACACAAAAGACGAGTAGTGTTTGCTGCAGATGCACATAGCCAGTGTCTCTGAGCTTTGGGTGCTGCCTGGAGCCGGTGCCTGGAACCACTGTCTGTGCACACAGCAACTTCTGGTGAGAACTGTGCATTTCCTGGGGGTGAGCCCTCTGCCTCCCCAACACCCCTTCAGTGAGTCCCAGCTCCACGTCGCTCTGGAGGGAGGGAACAGCCCCACCTTCCCATGTTCTCCCATGGTCACAGGCTCCTCTGTCATCCAGCTGTACTCACAGAAGGCCCCTCAGCACCATCCTCTTCCTCTCTGGAGCCTGTTTCAGACTCTGAAGAATTGTGACAAACATTTCCTATTTGCCCTGCTTGGTTGGCTACAGGCAAACACAAAGTTTGTTCTTCCCCCTAATGATTAGGAATACTTATGAAGAAATATGTGAAGAGAATAAATAAAGAGCTGGCTCTTCCCTGCTTCCCCTAAATGAGTGTTTTTCCCTGCAAAGTGAGTGGTACCCAGGAGATGATGCTGGGAAAATCAGTTCTTTTCAAATGACATGTGACGATGGGCTTCTGAATGCCACTGCTGATGATCTATTATGAAAGATATGGTAGTGACAACTGAATGCATAAAACACCCCCTTAAATCAGGTCTGTCGTAAACATGGCTGTTGTTTAAGGGAATTGTCAGAATTTATTTTGAAAATCGCACAGAGAGATGCTTTCTGTGAGTTTTTCAAGGCATGCTGAGGTCTAAACAAGCTCCTGGCCAGCTCCCTGGTTCTCCAGAGGATGGCCCCTCTGTGAGCACTCACCTCAGACGCCTTCCCTGCGGAGGCGGACTCAGTGACTGTAAGGTGCACTCTGTCTACATTTGCCTCAGTTTTCTCATGCACCCTCTTGAGATGCACGGGCAGGTGGTGGACATCAGCCGGCCTGAGGGACAAAGGCAAGGGTCCAGATGGGTTCCTTACAAGTTATTGTTAAGGAAGGAAACAAAACCCCAGTGCACAGCACACTGACAACCACGAGCCACAGAGCACTGGCGCCCTAAGGTCACACATGGCGGGGGGCCTTCTGACACCAACTCCAGAGCAAGCCCGAGGGTACCAGGAAAGGAAGCGCTCTCTAAAAACCTCCAGCCTTGGGCTGAGACCCAATTTAAACTAAGAATTTAACTTTCTCAAGTGTTCCTTCACAAATTCCTTCCAAGATCAAAGCCTCCGAGGAAACACCGTCTAAAAAGGACAGGAACATGTTTTATGATTCTAAAGCAACTTGCAAGCAAAATGTCCAAAACCGGTGCAGTTGTTCCAGTTCCCCACCCAGGAGTAGCTCTTGGGAGCATGAAAAGGCACCCAGACTCACGCATGGGCCAGATGCTTGGTGGCACCTCCTGTCTTCTCCCCAAAAGGCGTCACCCTCTCTGTATCGACAATAAATTCAACCCGAGCCTCTGCAATGGCCGAGTGTCCTGATGGAATTCTGTCATCAAGCGCACGAAGAACCAAGGACCAAGGAGGCGAGGGGCTGGCTCCCTACCTCCTGGGGACCCCCACTTCCCAGTAACAGGATTCTGATGCACTTTGGTTAAGAGAACATTCTGGTGTGTCCTACAGCTTTTATTCAATGCTTGAAGGCTAGAAATACCTGCATAGTATTTCATTTTTATAACAGTTCTATGAGGTAGGTCATGTTAGGAGACTTCTCAGAAGTGGAAACTGAGGCTTGGGAGCATGGGATTTTGGGTAACTTACCTAAACTTACCAAGTCTTAGATTTTTCACTTAGGGTAATAACCGATGAGCAGTGTCAGGCAGGCCAGCTGGCAGGCGTGGCTGTTTAGAATGCAGATTCCCCATCCTCCCCGCATCCGAAGCCTCAGTCCATGCCCACCCCAATTCTGCTGTCCAGGCCTGGCCTCCTGGGGACGGTGGTGGGGGTGGCGTCCACACCTCACCCCCAGCTCAGTTCTGAGCCTAAGACTCCGGCATAGCATACTTGAGCTTTAGACATTGGGGACCTTGCAGTCCCTCACCAGAGCAGTGATGCCACCAGCCCCAGAGACAGTGAAGTTCAATAACATCTGGTCCAATGGGAATGATTCTGGGGTGACGTCCTGGCAACCAGAGCAGAATAATGTGGTTTCAGGGGCAAGTGGTCCTTTGATTAAGGACGATCCGTGTTATGCACAGTTGGGACTTCACACCACGGTCCCGAGGTCTCTTGCTGGGAGAGGTGTCACCCTCTGTCCTCCCGGACGGGATTGGCAGCGGTACTTCCGGGTGTGAATTCCTGCTTTTATCAGACACGGAGCTCGGGAGCGGGGCTGGGCTGTGCAGTTCTGGAGGCTGTGCAGAAGCCTGAGGGTGTCGCCAGCGCTCAGAGGCCTTCCCTCCTCTGACACGTGCCAGGGTTCAGGAGTCCGGTACCCCGGCCAGGTGGGTGAAGCCACACGGATCTATGAGTACTGAGAACAGATGGTGCGCTGGGTCTGGCCACTGACATTTCCACGTTTCTGGACCACAGATGGTGGCGGGAGAGGAACTGGAACTTGAATGTCTGCTGGTTGGGGACCTGATTGCTGGCTGAGGTCCTCCCCTCCTTGATGGCTCTGTGTAAGCTCTGGGCAACAGCACAGACCTTCAGCAGCAGGATCCCAGAGCAGTGAGATCAGTGAAGTTCTGGCACTTGCCCCTGGGGTCAGCCTCAAACACGACACGGCTCATGGTGACACTCAGGGGCCTCCCTGATGTCCTTCACAGCGGTGCCCAGTTAGCATCTGCAAGCCCTGCGAAGACACCGGCAGTGACTTCCACACCTCATATCTACTAGGACTCAGCTTCTGCCTGCTGGGAACCAAGACAGTCACACTGGCAAGCTGTGCGTGCACCTCGGTCAGTGTGCAGCAGTCACGGCCTTGAGAGCTCAGTGTGCGGCGCTTGTCCCCTGCTGCCCGCGTGGAAACTCGGCTGCGTGTGCCCGGCCCACACAGGCGCCTACCTGTCTGGGACCTGAGTCAGTGTCATGCTGACTCTCAGCCCAAACGCGGCACAGTGGTTCACAGGAACAATCCTCCTCTTCCGGATTTAGAATTCCAAGGGCTGACTTTTTAACTTCTGGAGGAGCTTCCTTAGTTCTTATTTCAGAAATTAAAAATATTAAAAATAGAATCTTTTGTTTCAAATGAGAAACGATAACTTCAGCATAGGGGGAATGACTGAAAAACACAGTGAATATTTACATTTTAAAAAGTGATTACAGTAAAAGACACATTGGCATGGATCCTCCTCCGAATCCTCCCCCAGCGGACCCACCGTCACCACACCTTGCTTGGCCTCAGACGTCCAGAACCCGGAGACATAAATAAGTCCAGCGGTCGGCGCCTCTGCCGGGCTGGCCCTGCGTATTCTCCAGGGCAGCTACAGACACAGGACGAGGTTTTGTACCCTCCAGGGCTGAGCTTGCAGCTGAGAGGTGCTCGCCCTGTCATTTTAGAGGATGAAGAAGTTGACATTTTGATTCAGAAGTGCTCAGGATGCTGTGCGTGCCGGAGGCTGGCTGTAACTGGACTCTGACTCCCGCTCTGCCCAAAGCCGGTGGGCGGGGCTCACCGCAGGGCTGTGTTAAGGTGAGGGTGAAATGTCACCAGGGGACCGAGCACTGCCCCACAACCCAGAGCCCTCACTCCCCATGCTCCCCAGCTGCCTCCCTGTTTAGGAAGCGGGGATCTCAGCCCCTGTCCAGAATCATCATCCAGCGTTGCCCAGGGCTCTAACTTCAGAGCAGCCGCCCCTTTGCTCCGGAGTGGAGTGTGAGTCAAGCTCCGAAAGGCATCCTGACTTCCTCTCCCCAACGTTATATTTTTAGACTGTTTGGTTAGACTCAAACTCGTCCCCTGCTCCCTCTGTCTAAGGCCCAGGAGAAAGAAAAACAAGCACCCTTCACTTTTACTGAAAATACTGCCAGGAAGGCCATGGAGAGCACTTGGGAACCCGGGAAGACTTCCTTCCGGCTTGGCTCGGGGCGGTCCCGGGGAGGTCCCGCCCACCGGTCCCGCCCACCCTGACCACGCAGGAACTGGTTTGCTGACTCTCTGCTTGGCATGTTTTTGAAAGTGAGGCCATGTGTGTTTATTTAGGAATTGCTATGGAATAACTGCATTCGCTTCGGAGATTGGCGCTTAGTGCGTCGCGATCATTTTTACTCCCTCTCCGTCCTCCCCTCTCCTCCCTTCCCCTCCTCTCTCCCCACGGCCAAGGCACCTTCCTCCGTTTCCTGGTACCACTCCCGTTTTTGCTCTTAGACCACCCTGCATCCCCTCTTACTCCCATAAGAATGGCTGTCAGGACGATGCACTGTGGGGTCCACCTGGTGAGCGACTGGATTAGGGCAGACTGGGTGCATCTGCGCGAGGGACCGCTAGAGACGAAGCCCCACCCCGGAAGTGGGCGGCACCAACCAGCAGGCCCCGCCTGGTGGAATACAAGGGCAAGAAGACAGAAGTCTTGAGTCTGCCGAGGAGCTCAGGCCTTCACCGTCACGCTGGGCTTCCATCTCCAGGGCAGACTCTGCAGCCGTCCAACGCTGGCCCTTTGGCTTTCAACAGACTCGCATGGGACTGCCGTGAGCTCTGGGCCTCTGGCTTTCAGCTGGGTCCTCTGCTCTCCAGCACACAGACAACCATTTTGCCTTCTCCACACCTGACTCTGCAGGCGCCATGGTAACCTTAGCTGGTACGTCTGTTGTGCGTCATGCTCATCATGTGCACCCTACCCTATCAGCATATCATCAGGTCACAACACATCACATCTGTTCCTCTAGTGAAACCTCACTTCTCCAGCTGGCTGGGCTGCTGGGTAAAAGTCATCCTTCCACATTGTTAGTGGGAACATTAATGAGTTCTGAGCTCCCTCAAAAAGCTAGAAACTCCATTGTGGTCATTTTCCTGAAAGAGTGACAATCACTGTGTTGCAGAGGGAATTGGCAAGGGACATGCACATAGAGATGAGCTGAATGGAAGTAAAATAATAAAAGTTTATTTGCCAGCAAAGGGTCTATCGCATTCAAAAAGGCAGTGTCAGTGATCAACCTTGTACTGGGTTGCAGCTTCTTTTATAGCTTTTACAGCTATGACCTCATTCAGGTGGTTACATTTCATTTCCTCAGTTCACATTACCTGTTTACAAATTACAGTAACTGGACAGTTCACTTTAACCCGGACATAACAGTTCCTTTAGTTGGGAGTTTACCTTAAGATTCGTCTAGCTACCTATTCTGGTGCACAGGAAGGGGGTGTTCAAGATGTCCCACTTCATGGTCAATGCCTCCAGTGTCTGTTAATTTTGAACTAAACAAAGCAGATTGCTGTTAGAGAAAGCAGAAGTCATTTCACATTTTCCTTACATTTTGTAGGCTTTTAGATTTTCTACAAAGATTTATCAACTGTATTATGGCGATGTGAGCACACCCATGTTTCTAGCAGCACAGCTCACAATAGCCAAGTTATGAAAGTAACTCTGTGCCCGTCAGTGGATGAATGGATACAGAAAATTTGTTACTATGCAAAATAGAGTACTACTCTGCCATAAAGAAGGATAGATTTGAGTCATTTATGGGAAAATGCATGGATCTTGAAAGTTTAATGCTAAGTGTAATAAATCAACACAAAAGGTTAGATATTGCATGGTTTTGCTTCTATGAGAAACCCGAAACATAAACTGACAGCTTATTTTTGCAACCTCCAGGCCTGTGTTGCCACTGGACTGTCTCCCTCTGGCCTGGAAGATGTCTGCACTGTCCCTGTCCCATCTGCTAGAAGCTGGCTGAAGGCCTCTCCCGTTCTGCTGATAGAGAGCTAAGGAGACAGAAGCTTTAAAGTGAGTGGACTTTGGGAGCGAGATGGGAGACTGGGGAAAGCCTGGAGGTTCTCAGACACCCAGAGAGAACTGGGGTGCTGGTGGGGGAGGGTGAACTGCAGCAGGGAGAGGCGTGGATCTAGGAATGTGGATTCTGGGACTGACCTACCTGGGTTCAAATCCCACCTCTACGATTTCCCAGTTATGTGAGAATTTTAAGTTGCCCAGCCTGTTTCTCAGTCTCTGTCAAACAGGACTTATAATTATGTCATCATTTAAATCTAAAATGTCTCCCAAAGTCTCATGCATTCTGAGGTTGGCCTTTGGAAGGTGATTAGATCATGGGGCGCTGTACCCATCACTGGAAGAATTCACTCTAGAATTCATGGCTTAATGTGCCAGTAGGAGGCAGGACTCTGCTGGGGGTGGGTTCTTAGGCGTGCAACTCGCAAAGGCTATTCTTGTCCCCAGCTCCTCTCTCCTCTCTCTGTTTCCTGGCCTCTGTCGGGTGAGCAGCTCTCCCCACCAGGCCCACTCACCTTGGGGCCAGCTGATTTTGGACTAGGTCCTCTGAAACCATGAGCCTAAACCTTTCTTAGTGTAAGTTGAGGGTGTTGACTTTCGTGTCCCAGAGGTGGGAAACCTGACCCAATGCAGAGACTCAGTACCAGAAATAGGATTGCTGTTGGGACTGTACCTGACGTTGAGGGGAAGAAGCCTCTGAAGCCAGTTTGCAAGATGAATGTGGACGGCTCTGGAGATACTGGCTAGAGAAACCCTGGATTGCAATAATCAGAGCTGGTTAGATGATTGTGGTCAGTGCTGAGGAGACCCGGATGCTTCTAGAAATACAAAGAGTAAAGGCTCAGGAAGTTTCAGTTGGGCTCTGCTCCTGGTGAGCTTCCTGGCAGCCCCTGCCTCCCCTCCTCTGGTTCAGCTCTTGCTCTTGTTTGGATGCTGCAGGTCTGTGAGCTCTGGAGATATGCTTCCCCCTCCTCCTGCCTTTCTGCCACCCTCTGCACCAGGGTGGCTGTCCCATTTCTCTTCGAGAAGGCCCTCAATCTCCTGGGTAAACCCACCCGGCATTCTGAGGTCTCCTGCTTCTTTCCCTTTTTCCTCCTGTCGCTCATGCTCCTTGTCTGTGACGCTGCTGTCACCAGAGATGCCGTCCTGTGTGCCTTGCAGTCTCTTGCCAGGAGAGTGTGGGGCTCAGCTGAGGTGGCCTGGGGAAAGCCACCTGGCGCCTGATGCTCTGTCCCCACTCTGAGGAAGACTTCCACGGCTGAGCACACAGGAGGGAGCTGGAGCTCGTCAGGGCACAGGGTGCAGAGGGCTGGGTCTCGGTCCCCTTCTTGTCCGGGATGTCACTGGGGTACGTGTGTTCCTGGGTTCTGTCTGGCCCTGACACCCCCTCCTCACGGACCCCGCCATGCCCCAGGGTCCCCCCAGCTCAGCTCAGTGCTTCCTTCCTTTATGCTCTCCCATCATGCTGCGGCTCCCTCCACGGTCCCCCTGGACCCTTCTCTACATCGGCTCCTCCCCTGGCAGGGCAAGTACAGTGCGCTGCAGGGCCTCTTCCTGCCAGGTGTCCAGTCGCGCTCCGTGATGCCCTGTCCCTCCCTCCTCTCTCTTGGGACCCAGCCTTGTAGCACGTCTTTCTTCAGACCACTCTGCCGGCCCTCCCTCCGCCTACACCTGTGGAAGGGAGGGGTCCCCTGACTCCTGGTTCCTCGTCCATGGCCTGGTTAGGAGTGAATCCTCTTGGGTGGGAGCCTCCCTTGGGTGACACATCACCTGCGGCACTTCTGTATCTGCCACCCAGGAACTCCCTACCCCCCACCAACTGCCCTGCAGAACCCTGTCCTGGCTGTGCCAGCTCCTGAGTGCCATTTTATCGGGCCTCGCTCCCACCCGAGCCTTCACTGGCTCCCACTGCACCCTGGAGAAGCCCTCACTTGTCCTGAGCCCTTCAGGCACCCTGGCCACCAGAGGCCCTCGATCAGAGACCTCCCGAGTCAGCTCCTCCAGCTGTCCTGTCGTGGGACCATGCTGTGGGCCTTCCTTTGTCCTCTCCCATGCAGGGTGGCTCCAGTCTCCGTTCCCGGAAGGCCACCCCCATGCCACGACAGGGACCCTGCCCGCTGTCCTTGTCACTGCCCTTCTCTGGGGACCTCCCTGCCCTGCCACACTTCCTTTCTGTACAGCTCGCAGCTTCTGGGCTGCCTTCCTCATGCTGTGTCTGGCGAGAGCAGTAGCCGAACTGGATGCCGTGCCTCCCTTCTCAGTAGTGAGCTCCGCGTCTTCTGCTACAACGACATTTTAAAATTCAGACGCCTGCTGCATTTTGGGCTCCCGCCTTGCAGGAGAGATGCGCTGTCTGTGAGTGGCGGCCTTGCAGTCTCTGGTAGGCAAAGCGACCATCACTATTTCAGCTTCACCCATTTGCCTGGCCCAGAGATGGGCCCTGCAGGTACTGCTGCACCGCGTGCCTGGCGCTCACCGACTCTGACCCTATGCCAGCCAGCACCCTGCTCCTGTGGCCCCTCTGGGAACCAGGTCCCAGCCCATGCACAATGCTGCTTTCCGTTAGCTTCCTGCGAGGGCCGTCTGCCTACTGATTATATTTGACTGGTGCACCCAGGATCAGGGTGTGGCTCTGTGGCCCTGGGCTTTTCTGTTCTGAGCACAGGGGACGGGAAGTTTCTTCATGGTCTGGGAGGCCTGGTTTGGCCCGGTGTGGCCTGGGGGCTGCAGAGACCGAGGACGAAGGGGGAGAAGAAGGATGACAAAAGAAGCCCGCAGTCCACAGTGTGACACCAAGGACAGGGCACGGAAGTGGCCTCCAGCTTAGAGGTGGCCACTGTGCCGGTCAGTCAGTGAAGAGGCCACAGCCCGGCCTCAAGAAGCCTGTGCACAGCGCCATAGTGGGTCAGAGGACCCATGATGCCTTTGGGTGCAATGACAGCGGGGCAGTGTTGTTTTCCTGTCTCCAGACAGTGCCTGATGGTTCTGTGAGCTGTGCCCCACGCTGGATGCAAACAGACCACTGGGACTGGTGTCGGTGACTCCATCCTTGTGGCTCCCACCCCACCTTCCCGGCTAGGGAAGAGTGGCAGGTGCCACACAGCGGAGGGGCCCAGCGATGCCACCAGACACCTCACAAAACACGATGTGCCCAAGATGGGGATGGCTTGGAGGCTCAGAGCCGGTCTCCAGGCTGAGTGGCCCAGGGCCCTTCCCGGTCCCTGCCCTTGACTGGCCAGAGAAAATTAATGTTTTATCTTATAAATGTGCTGATCTGCAGCCTGAAGGAAAAAAGAAAAGAATTGCATTTTGGTTGCATCGAAATCACACAAACAGATCCTGACTTCCAAACTCTTTAGGTTGCTGTTTTGAAACATACATTGACCTTAAAATCCTGCAACAGGGAACGCTGTTCTGTTCCCCTCAAGTACCGTATGGAGAAGTACAGACAGGAACTTTAGGTCCATGAGAGGCCCAGATTAATGCCGCAGGACCTCGCTGAGCCATTTCCACCCTGGTGGTTGGTCCCCGTGTGCAGGACTGCAGACCTAGGACTCTACAGGGGTCTGTCACGTTAGAGCAGTAATACGGGAGCGCAGGAACTGTGCAGGAAGCCCAGCACAAACGGACGTTTTCGCACTTCTCTTCTGGCCTATACATGAAAAATCACGGTTTCTGCCGCTTTGGTCCTGGCCCCCAGCCCCGCCTGACACCTGGGGTGCGGGAAGGGCTGCGGCTCTGGACTCAGTGCCGTCATCTGTGTGGTGTGGGCTTCCCTGGCCTTGCCTGCTCTGCTCTCCCTGGACAAGGCGCTTCCCTCGCAGGGCTTGTCCTTCCTTTGGTCTCTGCTGGACTCCGCCGTCTCTCCCCTGGCCGGAAATGGGTGTTTGAATGCATTCGCGTTTCTACCCTGCTCATCTGCGCGGGTGCAGAGCCTTGTGGGGCGCACAGCTGCAGATGGCACGGCCCTGAGACAAGATGACGGGGAGTGTCGGGCCACCTCGGGCACTCTGGGGCTGCTCAGGACCCTTCGCCTGGGGGCCTGCGGGTCCCCTGAGCTCTGGAAGACCACCCAGAGAACAAGCCGTGGGGGCCTTCGCACGCACCCCATGAAGTACGATGCAAAGATATGGTGGTGATTGTCTAACATTTAAAAAATTTAGGACACTGCCACGAATCCCCTCAGAATGCTCCCCTACACTGTGAGCGCACTCATCCCACCGCCCCTGCCACTTCCTGTGCAGCTCTGGAGCCCTCTCTCCTCAGTGTCTTTGGTTGCGCTGCCCTGGCTGTCTCGATGCCCTGCGTCCATTCAACACGTTTCCCTTCCGTGGTCGTTTCGACTTCGGGAAGAGCTGGAAGTCACGCAGTGCCCGATCCGGTGGACATACTGTCTTGTTTCACGAGCTGCTTTCTGCTGGGTGGCGCTCGGCGGCAGCAGCAGCCACTGCATTTTTTATCACACCTGGGGAAGACCCTCAGGAAAGAGGACTCCAGAGCTGCTGCAGAAAATGGCAAGGACAATGGGATGAGTGCGTTTGAAGTGCGGGGGGGTTTTGAGGGGATTCGTGGGATGTGTATATTTCACTGCAGTAAGGATCTTCTGATTTACCTGCTCACTGTGTTTTGGTCACTGTGGGCACCAGCAATGTCACAGCTCCCAACCCCTGTATTGTCTGACCTACCGCTGGCCAGGATGAGGGGCAAAGAGCAACGGGCACTGTGGTGAGCAGCGCTGGGTCAGTGCCTGCCCTGTGCCTGCTTTGCACGGTGGCTCTGGTCTTCACTCACATCTCTGAACCACAAGTTCCTGTCCTCAGTGCCACCCCTACCCCACAGGCCCCCTGGTACCTTCGTCCTGGTTCCCCTCCGCTGGGGTCAGTCCTCCAGAGTCTCAGGCTTTGAGGTAACAAGAGCCTCTGCCCAGGGCGGAAATCGTACCCCAACCCCCACTCCCAGTGCCTTGGACAGAGATTCACATTGGTCCCAGGGTGGCTCAGTCAGCACAGGACAGAGGGGGACCCCAGTAGCAGTCCAGGGATAGGCCTGGTACATGCGGTGACCTGGCACAGCTGCCTGAAGAGGTCAGGGGCCAACTATGAAACCGGTTTGCAGTCAGACACTTCCTGAAACTGCCCCTAAACTCATAGGCTGTGTTTAGCTGTAACCAGTGATCTCTTTCTTTTCAGTACTGGGGGATGAACCCAGGCCCTTTGCACTGACCTGTATCCCAACCATTTATTATTTTTATTTTTTAGACAGGGTACACTAAATTGTTGTTACCCAGGCTGGGCTCAAACTTGTGATCCTTCTGCCTCGGCCTCCCGAGTGCTAGGGTTACAGGTGTGCACCACCATGTCTGGCTGTGATATCACTTTAATATCGCTTTGTGGAAGGTGTTGTTTGTAGTGAGGGTTGTAGGGCTTTGAGGAAAAACAGCTGAAAAATTAAACAAAAATAACTCCTTGCGGTCTTGTGCGGTGAGAGCAGCTTGACGTTATGCTGAGCACTTGATTCGTGGAGGAAACCTTGGCTGGGAGAGAAGTCTGTGCCTCAGCCACGATGCAGCATTTGGGAGGGAGAGAAGCAACCGACAAGGGACAGGTGGCTGGACTGTCAGCACCGGCGTTCTCATCACTGGTCCACTTCCCAGGGCTGCACGGAGGCGTCACCCTCTCCCAGGTTCCTTTGCGTCGACTTGTGGTGTTTTAACCTGGGATGGGTCACTGACTGTGGACCTAGCCTCTCATGCCGTCCTGCCCTAGGAGGGAAAGGAGCGGGCCTTGCTCCCAGCCTCTCCCTCAGCCCGGGACCTGGCCGCTGGGAGCTGGGCTGGCTGTGCTGGTCTGTCTGTGGACCCAATGTGAGTCCCTGACCAGGTCTTGCCTCTCTCTGTTGGTTTCAGGACCCAGAGATTTGAAAGAAGCCACAGCCCTTTTGACAATCTCCAGGTAAGGGCTGTTTGACTTGTAAACCTGTTTCCTTAAGGCCGGGGAGAGAAGCCAGCCTCATTTTGGAGGCTAGTTTAAGGCCTGTCTCTGATCGTCTTTCCTCCTCTCTGGGCCCAGTGAGGAGATCTCTGCAGCGAGTCTGGGGATTCTCCAGGATTCTGAGCCCATCGGCTTCCACATAGCACCGAGCGTCGCCCTGGGAGGATGGGAGCACCTCCGGGCTGGCCCCAATAAATACCCTCCTGTTTGCTGTGCAGCCATTGGAGTGCATGGTGAGGTGGGAGGAGCAGAGTGCTCTGGCCCCTTAGAGCCAGTCCTGCAAGCAAGGGTGGCACAGGCGGGAAAGCACCCTGTGCCTGTCCTGCTCCCGGGGGCTGGGCAGCTGGGCTCTCAGGCTGTTTCCTCCTCTGACCATTCACGCTGTCTGTGGATTGCTCACCATCCTTTCTCTACTACTTAATTCTCTGGCCATCTAATGCATGAGCAGAGGCACCGTGACCTCAAACGCCTGGAGCTGCAGGAGGCACGGGAGTCTGGAGTCACGTCCTGGAGATGCATGTGAGAGGCCCTTTCCCTGGTCTCAGCCCTTTTGGAGCCAGGGACCGAGTCTGCAAAAGACAATTTTCCCATGGATTTGGGCGGGGATGGTTTTGGGGATAATTTGTGCGCATTACGTTCATCGTGCACTTTATTTCTATTAATAGCACATTGTAATAGATAATGAAATAGTGATATAACTCACTACAGTGTTGAGTCCGTGGGAGCCCTGAGCTTGTTTTCTTGCAGCTAACAGGTCCCGCCTGGGGGTGGTGGGAAACAGTGACATCTGGAATATGTTGCTTACGTCTAGTCTACTCCATAATCTGTTCTGGTTGCTGTCACTGTCTAAAACTCTGCTTCACAAAGGGAGGATTTTTTTGGTACTGGGAGTTGAACTCAGGGCCCCATGCTGACAAAACAGGTGCTGTGCTGCTGAGCCACATCCCAGCCCACAGAGAGCATGTTGAAGATGGAAATTTTCAGCACTTCTCAGTGAGACTGTGGTGGCCCCAGGATATTCTGTCTTGACTTAAATCCAGAATGTATGGAGATTTGAAGCTGTCTCACGCATACTTTTAAGGGTATCACCATTTGAGATCTGAAGGTTTTGATCTTCTTTCGGCATAGGCAAAGCTGACTCATCCACTTATTCACAGTTGGGTTACAGAGCTATTCCTTCCCAGTTCAGGGGGTCTTCTGTGGTAGGAAGTTGTGTTTAAACTCATTTGAAGGCTGAGATAACCGATCATGCCCCAGCTGAGAGAAAGAAAGCCCTGACTCAGTCACTTTCAAAACCTCAGCTAATGTTTGAAACATTAAAAACCCCAGCGTTCACTCATTGCCACCATAGTTTCAGTTTGGCTTTGAATGCAGCCGCTTTATTTCCTGCTCTGAACATAGTTGTCATTCTTCCTGAGGTGACAGGCTGAGATCACTGAGCAGGTTGAGTATATCACACAAGTCAGCAAGTTTTGTGACCCATTCTGTGTTGCTGAAATGTGCTGCCAGTGGTGACTGCTTTTCTAAAAGAAATCTAGGGAGCGGCTCTTACTCCTCAAAAATTGGCCAATGCTCTACCTTTAAAAAGCCATCTTGCTCTTGTGTCTAAGAGAAAACATGTGTACTTCGTGTCCACCTTTCTGCAGAGTTCCATGAACAGACATGAGTTAAGGGCATGTACTTTAATGTGGTTGGTAATTTTAATCAGATCCTGCAAAACGTTGTTAAGTTAGATGACACTTTTTTTGACCAGGCTTTGTTTCTCTGTGTATGACAGTTCACAGAGTCCCATTCAGAAGTGTCTCTTTGACCCAAATAGTAGAACCAGACAGCTGTCCAGTAATGGCAGTCGCTCCAGCTGTGCCTGTGCTGACACAAAATGACCAAGTTGGCTTTCCTGATGTGTAATCATTTAAAGACTTGATTAGGTCTGCAGCTGTGTGTTGGCTGGCAACAAGTGAGTGCCTAAGGTATCCTGCTGAGAAATGTCTCGCAGAAGCCAGCACTGCTCCCTTGCCACCAGCATTCGTATTCGTCAGCCTGGTGACTCGCCGTTCCTATCAGTTGTGCCTCAGCTCCCTGCTGCTTCATTAGTCCATCTCATTATGGCACCAGATGAAAGAGGGACATGTGCCACCTTGGGGTGGGGCTGTGGCAGCTCAGTACCTGCAGGGCTGCACAGTGCCTGAAGCGGCACCTGCCCCCTGGTCCATGTTCTACACATAAAGCCCGTCACAACGTGGCTACTCCAGGGAGCGGGGAGCAGGCAGGTCAGAGGCAGCCCTGAGAGCCTGAACTTTCTCCTGTGCGCCTGAGCACACAGAAACGAGCACTGCAAAATGATCCCATTACCTGGGCTGACAGCGGCGAGGGATCCCTTTCCTTGGAGGGGTGCAGTGAGGGCTGGGAGGGAGGACTCTCAAAGCGTTGGATTTCCTCCTCCACTGGGAAGACACTGAAAGAGGAAAACAGGCCTTTCCTCAGACATGTCTGTGCCCAAAGCGGGAGGAGGAGGCCTGAGAGCAGAAGAGGAGAGTGCGAGTCCTCACCGGCCCAGGGATGCTGGCAGCGGGAGGGGAGTGACCCTGAGAGGGGCCGACTTTGTCACCTTTGCCAGGAGGCCGTCCCGGATCTGCTATGCCCTGATCTCACATGTCCTGAGTTCTTTGTCCACAGTGGCAGATTGCAAAACGGGCCCCAGCTGTCCACCTGCCATCTCTGGGGACTTTTCCAGTCGGCTCTGTGTTCCTCTCTGGGCTGTGACCTATCAGCCGATGGGATGGCAGTGATCGTGGTGCAAGCAGAGGCCAGATGTTCGCGTGGCAAGTGTTCACGTGGCGGGGCTGCCCTCGCCCTGGCTGTGCTGAGCTGGCCTTGCAGAGGAGAAACCCAGGTCAGAGGGGCCGTGGGACACGGGACCCATGGTGAGCTCAGCCCCAGCCAGCTGGGCTCATCAGAACCTCATGGAACCTGGGCTAGGTGTGTTTCCTTAGTTCTTGGGCTTACTTGTTATGCAGCACAGAGATGACGTGTAGCTGACACACTGGCTTAGCCTTCTCAGCTAGGAGCTCACTAAAGGCAGTGCAGTGTGGGTGCTGGGATGGACAGGGCCCTCAGGTAAGGCTCCATGGCACGGTGGGCACCCAGTTGGCTGGCTGTCCCTGGGTGTCTGGTTCTCGGCCTGTTGCACGGCCCGAAGCATCATCTGCAAACATGTCCATCCCATCAGCCCTGCGATGCGTGTCACATGTGAGGGTAAAGTGGGTTGGGACCCCGACTCACCTGCCTGCAGCCTAGAAGAACGAGGTCCAAGGTGAGGCTCTTCGACTTTACTTCGTGAATTCCAAGCATTGGGTGTCGCGTCTCAGTCTGATTAGAGGTTAAGTTTTTCATGAAGCCAAGAGAAGAGAGTGCAGGGAGGGCGTAAGGTCTGTGAAGTACAGGGCCCCCTTCCCATTACAGATGCACATGTATTTGTGTTCATTGTAACAGACTTATTGTAGTGTTTGCCAAGTTTGCTTTGTGATTTAAAAGGCCAGTGAAAGGTGGTTTTAATAAAGCTTTTCTAATGTAGTAGAACGTGCAGTAATAGCATCCTGTTTGAAATCTCTGGGAAGAGTTTCTTTTGGAAATATTTTCTTTCAAGAACTATATGCAGCTATTTCAGGAGGAAGGGAAGGAGCAGAGGAGAGGCCAGTGCTCCTCCGGGGGCCGTGCTCGTCGCCGTGATGATGGGTGTCATTTCCGGGACCTGCACGGATGAACCATCCTAGAAGCCAGCAGCAAAAGCCGCCTTGGACTGGAGACCCGGGGTGGAGGGCTCCCACTTCCTCATGGGACGCTGCAAAATCTATATGCACGTGCGACACAGGACTGGTGCACAAGGAGACAGGACGTGGCTGGTCCTCACACGAGTACCAGTAATCCTTTAAGTCAGAGCAGTTACATAACCGCAGAGAAACTCAATGCCGATCTCTCTGCTCTCACAAGTGCAGGCTCGGCCAGGGGTCCGCCGTGACCTCAGTCATATGTCGTAAGGCCACATGTCACCTGCGGGGCTCTTATTTGCATTGTGATTCTTGTTTTGGGTGCTGCGGCAGCTGGGTTTTATTTTGTGTTCATTTTATGGATTCTACTGAGTGGGTTCACGGTGGGCAGGACCCATGGAACAGGACCTGCTTTGTAGACCTTGGTGCTAGAACAACACTGTGTCTGCTGTTGGTTGCCTGCTGCTAGAAAGGAACAGGGTTTGAAGGAAACAGGGTGCACAACATGGAGGGAGAGGACCACAGTAAGGCTGTGTGTGGGTCACGGGAGAGAACATGGGCTAGGATGTCCGGAATCCATGGAGGGAACTGCAGCCACCAGCACGGGCTCAGCAGCTTGCAGAGTTTGGGCTGAGAGAGGCAGGTCTCCAGGGAGACTGAGGACTCCATCCAGGGATGGTGTCATCCGGGCTCTCCCAGACTCCACCCCTGCATGCCTGCCTGGCCAGCCCTTGTGCTCACAGCGGCCCCACACCACCCCACGTCCTGAGCAGGTTCCGGATGTTCACACCCGGTGTCCTGAGTGGCTCAGTGGAGATGAGGTGGTCTGGGCTTAGTGAGGTGAATCCCTGCTATGAGAGCCAGGCCCCTGCCGGTGCAGGATGCATGACTCTGCGGGATCCAGGCTGCAGACAGACCTAGGACGGTCGCACAGAGAGGTCACCCGGGCAAAGCCAGTTTCCTGCGGTGCCCCTGTGGCTGGGACTGAGACGCTCAGGCTGGACATGTGAGGTCTTCTCTGTGGTTCAGTTTGTGCCCACAGTTGGGATACCTCGAGTAAAGCCGGTGACTCTGTGAGGTGGCCGGGTCCCACGGGTGACTGACGGCCTTCTAGAGGACGGAGGCAGGGAGGTTGGGGAAGAACAGGAGCCCTGCCTGCGCTTCTGTCTGCCACCCTTGGAATTCTGACCCCGGACCACCACAGGAGCTCCCACGGAGGCTCAGCCTGCGGGGGCCGGGCCTGGACGCGGCTCTCCCTTTGCCCCGTGTCTCTGTGTGCTTAGGGATCCGGTGTCTCTTCAGTTCTCTTCTGCTGGAAAGCTTCAGTAGCTCGGGGTCCCCAGGCCGCACACATCCTGTGGTGATGACAGTCGTGGTCACTGCCAGGCGCTGGCCACAGGAGGACCCACCCGGCCTCAGGGAGCACATCCTCCAGTCACTGCCTCCCCTGTGACCCGGATGGGATGGTACGTGGAAACAGCACAGGCACCCAGGATGCTTGTCTGTCCTGTACCATGTGAGGGCGGACACCCTGGGGAGGCTGCTGGCTTGGAGTAGGAGGTGCTCAGAGGGCCCTGGGTCAGGGTCAGGCCATGGCCGGCGCCCTGGACACGGAGGGACCTCTGCTCCCCGGAGAGCCCAGGCTGCAAGGAAGCTGATGCTAGGATTCTGAGCCATGGGGCTTGGCATGGTTTCTTACATGGCCTCATTGCCCCAAAAGGTAAAGAACACAACAAAAAAGGATGCACACATGTCTTCAGGTCCAAACTGGTTCAAAACGTTTGTCTTTCAAGGCTGTTTTGACTTTGGGGAAGAGCCAGGAGTCACACAGTGCAAATCTAGTGACTAAGGTGGACGAGGACACAGCGTCATGTTTGTTTACGAGCTGCCTTTCTGTTGGACGGCACTCGGCAGCAGCAGTGCTACCTCGAGATGACACTCGAGATGTGAAACTTTTATCACATCTCATAAAGACACTCTGGAAAGAGGACTCCAGAGCTGCTGCAGAAAGGGCGAGAGCCGCGGGGTCAGTGTGTGTGAAGTGGGGAGGGTTCTGAGGCAGAGTCGCGGCAGTGTGTCTCAGTGTAAGGAGTTTTGAAATGTAAACACTCGCCATACATTTCGATTGCCCATGGAATACCTGCATTTCAAACAAGTATTCTGCTGCTTCTAACACAAATACTTTGCAGGCGGAAATCTGGGAGGGCTTTCGGGATGGTGCAATATTAGAGATTTAAGTTTTGGATCTTGGCGTCCTCAGGAATTTTTTTTTTGAAGTTTTCTTTTCCTTCAACCTAAGTACAGGTATTACTTTTTTAATTTTTTGTACGCTGTTTTATGGGCACCGTCTTAGCTCATGATATGGCTTTCCCACTGGTTTCTTCATGGGCGGTATTACATTAAAGCATCCTCCCACCTCGTGAATAATTTTACTCAATCGTGAACTATTGTCATTTTCATACAAACTTGGTCTGAAATTGCTAGTACCTTTAGAATTTTAATACTCCTCTTTCCAGCCTATGGTTTTCATTTTTGTACCATTTTTTTTTTCAGGTTTTGGGATCAGAATTGTGCTGGCTTTGTGAAGTAACCAGAAAGCTCCCTGCAATTTCCTTTGGGCTGGCACCGTCTATGCCACAGGCTCACAAGTTGCTCCGTGAATACTGACAGGAACTGAACCCCACAACTTCAGGTGTGGACCCCTTTTAGGGAGCAATATTTTCATTTTTCAGGGATTGTTCTGTTGATAGTATACTCAGTCTTCAATAGGTTTAGGAAAATTATCATTTCCTACCCCCAAAAATCCATTTCTGCAAGATTTTCCAATGGGTAATCATAGAGTTAACCACGTTTATTATGAGAGGATTTGCCATATTATTAATTTAATCTCCCATCTAGCTATGTCCTCAATGCTTATTTTGTGTATATGTAATCTCTCATTTTTCTTGAAGAGCTTGCCAGATGTTTGGCATTTTAATTAGCTCTTTTTTCCTCTCAAAGAATGAGCTCTTAGATGAGTATATCAAATCTGTTTCTATTCTATTTTTGCCATCAATTTTCTTTTTTTTTTAATTCCTTCCTTCCTCCTGATCTGTTTTCTTTATATTAACTTCCTGGAGTGAATGCTGCTTTCATTTGTTTTCATTTCTTCCTTCTAATAATAAAAGGTTTTACGGATACGAATCTGTCTTTGAACACAGCTTAATTTTATTTCCCTGCGGTCAGAGTCCTTGGCCTATACGCTTTCTGCCTTTTGAAATTCGGGGAGGTTTTATATGTGGTCTGAGGCAGAATTAATTTTTGTAAATGTTCCGTGGAGTGCTATGAAGAATACATGTTTTTCTACAGAGAACAAGATTAAAACAATATTATTTTAATTACCTTCTCAATGACATCATTCAGGTGCGCTGAAGATTTATTTTATTTTCTGATTCCACTAAAGACTAAGGGAGTTTTCCAGCAGCAAAAATATTTACTTTACCAAAAACACTACATTTAAGTTCAAGGTGCAGAAAGGTGAGTCTGAAAATTTCCTATGGACGCCGCCCACAGGGCTCCGCAGTGCTGTTTGTCTGGATTGGTCGGGGTCCCTGCGACTCCTGCTGCTCTCTGTGGCCCTGGCTTCTTGGGAGAGATCCCTCTGGTCTGACCGCTGCTGTCCTCACCCGCTGCTCTCTGACTCCCTGGGCTGGACTGCGGGCCAGGAGGTGCTAAGAGGCCAAGATCCACTCTCTGCCATGGAACGCGACTCGGCTGTCTATTAAGAAGGACAACTTTGGGGCCTTTGTAGGAAAGTGGACGCACCTGGAAAATACAACGCTGAATGAAATAAATCAGACACACAAGCTCACATTCTGTATGGTGTCTCTCATTTGAGCGAGGCAAAGTACAAAGTAAAGGACAAAGGATGGACAGAAAGGGACAAGGGGACAGATCTCATCCGGAGGGAAGTGGTCCAGGGGAGTGGGGAGGGGTGTGGAGGAGGGAAGGGGCAAGGAGAGGAACGGAGATGTGCCATGTGCAGGGTCCTGATAACTGCAGTCAGTGTAAACCCTGTACGCCACACAGTGGCTAAAACCAACAAGGTCAACCAGTGCGGAAAAGGTGATGGGGAGCCAGGGGAGGGGATTTAAAAAAAGCTGTAATATTTGCAGGCAGCCACTCCCCAAGATGATTGAAAAGTAAAATTTTAAAAAGTGGTATTAAGAAAAACTTTTCAAGGAGCATATCAAATAAATCACTGTTTAACAGACCAAAAAAAAAAAAAAAGATCGTAGCTTGGGGCTAGATCCCTGGAGGGCCAGCCCTTCCAGGAGCTCCCCCAGAGCGCTAGGGAATGCCTGATGTTGTGTTGAAAGATGAGTTGAGATTGCTGTTTGCCGAGTCATGCTTACACTTACATTTCCCATTTTATGAACTCCCTTTTCCCTCACACTGAAATTTTTCACCCTTCACATGGCTCACATGATTGCAAATTTGATTCATTGTGACAATATGAAAATTTCTTTCCAAAATAACAGTACTATCACTAACTGTAAGAGAGAATAGTTTCTCCTAGTTCCATTTGCCCTCTGCTCATCCTGACAGCGGGGTCCACGTGTTCAAAAGAAATCTGTTCCCCATATTAATGTTCGATTGGGCCCATACTTTTCAGTTTGTTAACAACTTTAGGAATTGATTTTTTTTTTTTTTTTTTTTTTTTTTTAATTTTTTTAGTTTAAAGTCTATCTTTAAACTGTTGCTAGATTTTCAGGACTCACAAGTGGTAGCCAAGCAGCAGCCCCGCTCCTGTTCTTGCTTCATAAAAGCAACTGCGCCTGCTCAGTCCTTGTTTATTCCTCTCTTTCCGCAGCTCAACCTCCTTATCAGAGGTGACAGGGTCCTGGACATCATGGCGGACAGTGGTGGCCCGGGGCTGAGTCCTGGCTTCCACACAGGTGCGAGCTGGTCCCTGGAGCTTCCGTCCGCAGCCCGCCCACCAGCTTGTTTCATGTGTGTGTGCATCCATACGGACTACTGATCCCTCACCCTCAGTTTGCAGCCCGAGTCCTAGGCCTGCGCGGCACTTGGACTTGCCACGTTCTTCCTAAACTTTGTGTGCAAGGGACTCACTTCAGCCCCGTGCTTGGGGCTGTTGAAGCAAGCAAAAGGCCAACACAAAGTGGAAAAATGCCCCCAAAAGGACACTGGTGCTCAGTGCGACCAGTAAGACAAGAGGGCACGGCATGGCCCCTGTCCACCTCAGCTGGGACTAAAATCCTTTTGTTCTCCAGGCGCGCCTGTGACTGTTGCTGGTATTGATTTGTGGATCACTGGTAAATTTTAGCAAATAGAAAAATTTCCAAATATGAAATTCACTAATGACACAGATCAGCTGCATGTCTGTTTCTATCTATATATCTTTGGGTGTAGACTTTAAAGTACTTTAGGATATGCTGATTGTGTGCTTTCGTGTTTAAAATATACCCATCGCTATCTGTGCACATTTGTATAATTCCCCAGTTTTCCTACACGTAAAAGTGGAGTAGATGCGTTTCACGTTACCGTCTGGAGACGACTCCCGCTTGGTACCTGCTGTTCTCTTCATTCTCTTTCCGGTCCAAGTAGGGTCCCCAGGGTCCAGTGTTGGGTGGCGCTGCTGCCTGCAAATAGCAACAATAAACTTGTCCCTGCGTGATTTGGTGTTTGTGGGGCTGCAGGAAGGGAACACGCTAGACCAACAGCAGCCTGCCTCTGTAATCGTGCTGGCTACTGACAAACTTCCTCCTCCAGAGGCTGCTCCCTGTTCTGGGCTCAGCAGCAGCGGAGGACCACCTGTCTCCCCACAGCCTCACTGGCACAGGTGACCACAGGGCCTTTGTTTCCTTTGGGTTATCAATCTTATTGACCTGGTCAGACAGTCAACTTTTGTTTTCAATGCTTTTCTCAGGTTTCTGGTTGTGATCACTTCTGCACTCTGCTTATTGTTACTTTCTTCTGTGTCTATCTTGGAGTTTCAGTTAGTTTTTTCTTTCTTGTTTCTTAATATAAAAGCATAAATAGTTGGCTTGGGACCTTAATTTTTCCAGTGTGAGCATTTCACACTATACAGTTGTATCTCAGCTCCGGTGTAGTTGTATCTCACAAATGTTGATAGGTTGTACTTTCCTTTTGATTCTCTTTTTAAATTTAATTTTATTAGTACATTTAAAGTCTACAGTATAATGACATTCATTGTTGGAATTTTGCACCTTTACATAATCAATCTTTGTTCTTATTTTTCCATCCCCCTGCCCTCCCTTCAACCCCTCTGCCCCGCCTTATCTACAAAGACTTGTTTCCATTGTTTTTCATTTTCTTGTATTAACTCCATTCCCTTCTTTCCTCTCCCCTACCCCTCCCATTTCCCCTTCCCCTTTGCACCTTTTCTTCCTATTTCACATTATCTATTGTACCATTTAGTCCTTATTTACACTTTCAGCTTCTCACACTAGAGAAGCTATTTGGTATTTACACATGTGTGTCCTATTTATTTCACTTAAGAGTATCTCCTCAATGTGCATTCATTCATCTATAAATGTCTCTAACCTCTTATTTTTGATGGCCGAATAGTACTCCATTTTATTTTTTTAAAACCCCACATTTTCTTTATCCAGTTTCCCGTTGATGAACAGTTGGGCTGCTTCCAAGTTTTAGCTATTACAGATTGTGCTGCTATGAACATTGGTACACATATATCTCTGTGGTATGATTCTTTTAATTCTTTAGGGAAGATACCCAGAAGGGGAGTAGCTGGGTCAAGTGGACTTCCAATCCTAGTTCTTTGAGGTGTCTCCATATTGATTTCCACAGTGATTGCTCCCCAGTCTGCACTCCCATCAGCAGTGGAGCAGGGTTCCTCTTCCCCTACAGCCCCACCAGCTTTGTTATTGGTTGATTCCATGATAGCAGCCATTCTTTGTGGGGTGAGGTGGAATCTCAGAGATGTTTTCATCTGCATCACTCGAATGACCAGTGATGTGGAACATTTTTTTCGTATATTTATTTGATGCTTTTACTTCTTTGAGAAATGTCTGTTCATTTCAGGTGCCCATTTTTGGATTGGGTCTTTGTGTTTGGGAGGATCTGATTTTTTAAAGGTCTTTATATATTCTAGATAGTATTCCTTTGTCTGAGGAACAGCTGGTGAACATTGTTTCCCACATTGTGGATTGTCTCTTCACACTATTGGTTGTTTCTGTACAGAACTTTTTAATAGAAGACATCCCACTTGTTCATTCTTTGTGCTAGTTCACATGCAACTGAGGTTCTGTTTGTAAAATCCTATCCTGTGCCAATGTCTTCAAGAGTTGTGCCTAACCTCTCTTCAGCTTAGCGTTTCTGTTTTAATATTTATATCTTTAATCCATTTTGATTTTAGTTTAGTGCATGTTGAGAGATATAGATCTAGCTTTAATCTTTGGCAAGTTGAAACCCAGTTTTCCCAGCACCAGTTATTAAAGAGGCTATCTTTCCTCCAGTGAGGGTGTTTGGCTCCTTTGTCAAAGATGAGGTGGCTGCATATGTCTGGAGTTGTTTCTGCATCTTCTGATCTGTTCCACTGCACCTCAGGTCTACTTCTTTGCCAGTACCATGCTGTTTTTATCACAGTGGCTTTGTAGTATAGTTTTAAGTTGGGAATTGTACCCCCTGCCATGTTTTTATTGCCTAGAATTGTTTTTGCTATTCTAGGTCTCTTCTTGTTCCAAATGAATTTTTGTATTGTTTTATCAAGGTTTGTGAAGTATGCTGCTGGGATTTCAATTGGGA